TTTTGCAAATACTTTACAAATGTTGGACCAAATCTTGCAAGTAAAAGCCCGACAGTAAATGTTTCTTTTCAAAATTTTCTTGGACCTCATGTCAAAGAAACAATATTTTTGAGACCAATCACTTTTCTTGAACTGTATAAAATCTGCATGTCTCTTAAAGTTGGGAAGGCACCTGGTGCTGATGGCATCCCAATGCAGCTTATTAAAGGCTCTTTTCAATTTATTTCTGAACCATTAATGCGTATAATTAACCTCTCTCTTGAGAATGGTATTTTCCCCGACAAATTAAAAACGGCTAAAGTTATCCCTATTTATAAAGCCGATGACCCAAAACTTTTTAATAATTACAGACCTATTTCAATTCTATCAAACTTTTCGAAGATCTTTGAAAGGGTAATGTACAATCGACTAATTGAATTTATTGAAAAGTTCGAAATATTGTATTGTTATCAATTTGGTTTTCGTAAAAATAATTCAACTAATTTTGCTTTAATTCATTTGACTAACAAGATTGCAACTGCTATTGATCAAAATAAAATTACAGCCGGTGTTTTTGTAGATCTGTCTAAAGCATTTGACACATTAAATCACCAAATATTGTTTTCTAAGCTTGAACGTTATGGCATTCGTGGTGTGGCGTTACAGTGGATTAAAAGCTATTTTGAAAATCGTGAACAATTTGTACAGCATGATGTTTCCTCTTCCAAACAGATTATTCAATGTGGCGTTCCTCAAGGTTCCATATTAGGACCACTGTTTTTCATTCTATATATTAATGACCTTCCGAATGCCTTGCGATTAGCGGAACCATTATTATTTGCAGATGATACAAGTATTTACTACTCACATTCTGATCCACTTGTGTTAGCTACTGTCTTAAATCAAGAATTGAGTAGTATTAGCTTGTGGATGAAGGCGAATAAATTGTCAGTTAATACCAAGAAAACAAACTACGTTATTTTTAAACCAAAACAAAAGAAATTAAAAACTATTATGATACCGCTCATGTTTAATGAAAATAAGCTTACGCAAAAACGAGTGGTAAAGTTCCTTGGAGTTTTTATAGATGAAAATCTTTCATGGAAATTTCATATTGATCACATCTGCAAAAAAGTCTCAAAATCCACCGGCATAATCTATAGATCACGTTTTCTATTGTCTATGAAAACTAAATTATCCTTATATTATACCTTGATCTACCCATATCTGACCTACTGCAACGTCATTTGGTCTTCTACCTATGTCACAAATGTAAAAAGATTATTTTTAATCCAAAAACGACTTGTTACAGCTTTGACAAACGCTGACTTTACAGCACATACTGCACCACTGTTTTATCGGCTGAATCTGCTTGATATTTATAAAATTAATTTCTTATACATTGTTAAATTCATGTATTGCTATCATTATAATTTACTTCCATCTTCATTTCATAATATTTTCATTACTAGTCATCACATGCACTCTTACAACACTAGAAATGCAAATCTATATCGACCTCATACATGTCGTACAAACATAAAGAAGTTTACTATTTTGTTCCAAGGACCCCAAAAATGGAATTCCCTTCCGGAAAACATTAAAAATTCAGAGACTTTAAGTTGCTTCAGGAATAGAATGTTAAAATATCTAATATAGCCATCATTTATATTATGAAACTGGTAAAATAATTTCATATGCTCTAAACGTCTGATTCCCCTTAATTGTGTTTATATATGTTGTGCTCATTTAAAAGGGAGCCTAAACTCCTATAAGCCTTGTGGTTTCGTCTTAGGCTTCCTTGTCACCAACATGATGACTGAACAAAATTTATTTATCGAACTATACTTATTTATATAACTTATCTATCTTATTTAAATATCTAACTATTATATAACAGTTCTATAATATTTATATATACAGTATATGCATGTAATTTACAATCTTTTTATTTTTTATTTTTGTAATGTTGGTGTCAAATCAAATTAAATTCATTCATTCATTCATAACCCAAATCTCGCCGTTTTTACCCCCTCAAAACATTGTAAGTGCCATTTCACATAACCAGGAACTTAACAAATACCCGATTCCTACAATCATGAAACCCAGGAAAAACAAACGGCCTGAGTGCATCAGTGTCCCTGATTAAAGTTCATTAATCCCCTTGCGGAGATCAGTTACAATTCCACGCTTCCCCAAGATTTGGTTTAGTAATGTTAGTTCGATGGTCAATAAGTTAGACGAGGTCTCAGCATCAATTTCCACCGAATTTTAGGATGTTGTCGTAATTACTGAAACATGGTTAAATTCACGAGTAACTGATGACCTTATTCGTATACCTGGCTATGTATCGTGCCAAAGGAATAGACTGAATAACCAATGCGGGGGTGGTATTTTACCAAATTAACTGACCTGAGCGAGCCAGAAATTGAGAGTCAATGGTTTCTAATCAGAATGGAACGTTTACCACGAGGAATCAACTCTATTTTATTGGGAACAGTTTACCATCCTCCTCAGAGCAATGACCATGTTCTTCAAATGCATATCTTCAAATGTTTCGATTCTTTACTTGCCACCTATCCTAATTCTGCCATCTTGGTCTTTGGTGATTTCAATCAATTCAAACCTGGTAATCTCTGCAACTCTTTTAGATTGAAGAAACTGGTAACCAAGCCCACCAGGGAAAGTAATATCCTTGACCAAGCTTTTTCAACTCTGTCACCTTACTACGATGCCATCATCCTGCCTCCTATTGGTCAATCCGATCATTCCAGTATCTTACTACAACCTATTTTGACACATGCTCCAAGTCTACCAACCACACGATTGCAAAAGCGTGATTATCGATCTCTCATCTGAATACTGTTAACTCGACGCCACTCATGTGGCCGAATTCATGCGAGGAACAACTGGATTCTTTCCAGTCTGTAGTTCATGTTGCTTTGAAATTCCTGCATCCCCATGCGTACTGTGAAACATCATCTTAACGAGAAACCATGGATTACTCCTGTTATTAAAGAATCTATTAAGAAACGTCAACAAGCTTGGTTGAATAATGACTTACACCAATATAATGTTTATCGCAATAAAGTGATAAAACTCTGCAAGAGAGCACGCCAAAGATTCTACAATGACAAAATCAATCACATGCATGAGAGTAATCCTAAAAAGTGGTGGGACGGAATCAAGCTGTTGTCTGGACTTTCTAATCCTCCCCTGTTAACAAGCTTAGCAGTAAATGGCACTGTTTTGAAGGACTTCGATCTTGCTGTCGCTATTAACGAATCCTTTTGCAGTGTTGCTGCTGACATACCACAACTAAACTTTACTCCCATACCTGTTTCCAACATTCCTGATGAGTACATTATTACCTGTGATGCCGTAGAACTTGCTTGAGGACCTGACGACATTCCCAATTGGCTCTTGAAAACCTGTGCCACAACTATTAGCATCCCTGTGTGTTCCATGTTTAACTCTTCTATTAGAGAAGGTCGAGTCACTGGGCTGTGGAAATGTGCGGATGTCCTCCCGTTGGGGAAGATCTCTAGACCGAAGTCTATTGATACGGACCTTAGACCTATATCTCTAACTGCAGTGTTGAGCAAAATTCTTGAGTCTTTTGTTTTCAACTTGCTTGCACCTATTTTTATGTCATACATCGACCCTTTCCAGTTTGGTAGTGTGAAAAAGTCTTCAACCACTGACGCCCTCGTGCATTTAGTCCACTACTGGCTCTCTGCCCTGGAAACGCCTAACACCTTTATCCGAACCTGTTTTATTGATTTTTCCAAAGCGTTTGATCGAATTGATCATAACATTCTGATGCGCAAGTTACAGCTTCTCAATGTTCCATGGTCCTATTAAACTGGTGTTCAAGTTTTCTTCAAGGCAGACAGCAGCGCGTCAAATTAAAAACTTGTAAATCTGATTGGAAAGAAATAAAAGCTGGAGTTCCACAAGGTACCAAACTTGGTCCTCTGTTCTTTCTTATAATGGTCAATGACCTGTCCAGCGAATTGCCTTTGTACAAGTATGTTGACGATTGTGCAATCTCTGAAGTCGTTAGAGTATGTGAACTGGATCTACCAAAATTACAGCAAGAACTTGACAACATGACCCAGTGGTCAAGTGCAAACAACATGAAGTTGAACATTAAAAAAACTAAAGATTTCACCGTGTCATTTTTGATCAATCAACCCTTGGCACAACCCTTGATTGTCAATAACCAACCCTTGGAGGCTGTTAATACCATCAAGCTCCTGGGGGTAAATTTGACCTCAGATCTTAAGTGGACTACACACATCAGGCACATATCCTCCAAAGGAAGCAAACATCTGTACGCTTTAAGGATATTAAGAAGAAATGGTGTCCAACCGAGTGATCTTAGGACAGTATATTGTAGTTTTATCAGACCTGTCTTGGAATATGCGTGTCCAGTCTGGCATACGTCGTTACCAAAGTTCCTGACTGATGAATTAGAGCACATTCAGAGACATGCGTTCAAAATTGTTCCCCACTTGTCCTACTCCGAAAGCCTCAAAGACCTAAAGTTGCCCACTCTCGAGGAGAGAAGGGAATTGTTATGCAGACCTTTTTACAAAAATAATTATAGTGACACTTCGAGCAAAATTTTTAATCTATTACCTGAACCTTTAGATCATTAGTACAATCTTAGACATTCCCGATCTATCTCTCTTTTTAAAACCCGAACTAAACACTATAATGATAGTCTTTTGCCATATTGCGTATGCAAATGGAACTCTTTTTAACCTTTTAGGCTTCTATAGATTAATATATCATTTGTAAATTAGCAATCCTACGTTATTGTAATTAGTATTACCAGCTATCTATAATCTGTATATACATATTTTGTTCTATTTTTAAACTATGTAAACTTGTGTTTTTCAGTTCGATTTTGAACTGCCATTCAAGTATTTTAATAAATCTAATCTAATCTGTTTACACAACATATTGTTGCCCATTAGTCACCACATGGAGGTTCTCAGTCTTGGCCACCAAAATTTTTAATGTTTATCAAAGTCTGTAATAAATCGGAGCCACTTGACTGCTGCTGTATTGGTACAACGTTAATTTCTTGAAAATCATCTCCAACTAGATTTTCTGCTTGTTGTTGAAGATCATCAAGGATAACATCATAGAAAAGGCTATCATACAAATTCACAACACCTTTTTCACAACCAATTGAACTAGCACACATCCAATAATTTCCCCCAGTGTGCAATATCTGTACAAATCTCCATGAACCTGGTCAAAATTAGAGAATGGACCCAGGCTGGTTTGCTGAAATCCTTGAATGTCGGGATTAATTTTCTTCAAAAGGACATTGTATTACAGTATTTTCTAACCACCCAGTAGGTGATTCTATAACATCAAAGTCATAATTAGTGAGTGTTGCAAGTATACCATATTTATCAACTTGCTCAGCTTCATTAGTACCAAGGTAGACAATTTCAGATCCATTGTCAACAGAACTCTCAGGAGATGAAAATGGTCGAAGTTTTGTAGACTTTGTTGCACAAATATTGTCCAATTTGCATTTATTACATGTCCACAAAATTTATGACATGCAGTGTAAATGAACGAACTTCCCACTTGAGCAACTGTTATTATGACATTTCAGTAACTTGTCCCCAGAATTAACCTTTTTCTTGCACAAACAGTTTCAATAGAAGAAGCTTCTTCGAAGAAACTTGCACTTACATCATTCTTTTTCACCCCTTTCTTACCACGGCCAAACTTTGGTAGCTTCCTGCAATGTGGACATAGCCATATCTTAGATACACTTTGTAAGCAGAGGCAAGCAAGGTGGAATCTGGAAATGGGACAATCTGGATTTGAGCATGTTGCTGTTGGTTCATCACAAGTCTTCCTGTAGAAACAGTTGCCACCATTTGGGTCTGGACCAAGCTCTTCCTTCAAATCCATCTTTCTTGTGTACCACCTCCCAAGCATTTCTGGCAATATACAAGTTCTCCAAAACAATAAAAGCTTTGCCACCTGGGAACAGTGCTGTAACAGTTACAATTTATTTGTAACTAGTTACAGTCATAGTTACATTGCCAAAAACATAACTAGTTACCGATACAATTAGTTACAGACGCCAAAGTGCAACTAGTTACAGTTACAAAGTTACAATATATTTTTGTAACTTAGTTACAAAGTTACAAGTTACATTTATTTGATTGCAATTAAGAACGCATACAATTCGAATGGGCCGAATGGTAATGAAACTTGCGGAAAAAATATTGGCAAAATTAATAACTATTTACTAAATGTATCTGCATGCATCTGTAAAATTCCACCAAATCGATTTTTTAATAGAATTGCTATTATACAGTCTGAACGAATAGATTGGAAAAAAATATACCTCACTGGCTAGTGGCTTCTGACTTTGCAATGAAAAAGCAGAAACGTGAATACGTTATCATGACTGGGCCAAGTGAAATGAGGCCAAAGACCAATTATGACGAGGCCAAGGTCCAAGTGAAGGCGAGCGACGGCATTCTGATCAGTTCCAACTGTACGTAAATTTGACATCAATCCTTGACTTAAATTTGTGTCTTGAACGGATTCTGTTGTGTCAGATTAAATTATTCCTGTGCAGATGATTAAGAGCTTGCCTGACTGTGTATTGATTTATTTCATTTTAAAAACGTACACAAATAGCAATGAACAAAATGTAACTTGTAACTTTGGCAAAATAACTTGTAATCGTTTCAATTTTATGGCATTTTTTTGTAACTAGTTACAGTTACATGTTCTCAAAATGTAACAAGTTACCGTTACTGAAAAATGTAACGATTACTTGTAATTAGTTACTTTTAACGAAGTTACTTACAGCACTGCCTGGGAAGCCATGTGTTCAGAATAGGGAAAAATTCTCTCTTGAACTAACTTTGAACTGTTGCTTGAGATTGCAAGACAACAAAATCACAGTAAGGACTTTTGGTGATGTGCAGCTGCTGTTGGGTTTGATAATAATAGGTATGATCTCTCTTCAAGGGAAACTTTTGACAAACTAATTGAAAACAGGCTGATTTCCTTCTGACAATAGTTCTTAAAGTCAATTCCTTCAATGCAGTATGGGCACTTAACTTCCCCACAACCACATTCACATAAAAAATCAGGGGTGACATGAAGAAAGGGATGTTCTGGATCAATAAATGTTCCACATTTTGTTACTTTAAAAGTAAGGTGATTCTGTTTCATGTAACTAGCATATGCTTCTATTGCAGTTTCTTCATGCTTACAACCATGGATTGTTGCTGCTGTGTTGAAACAAAACAGATGTGGGTAACAAATTGACTTGATTAGAGACTGTGATGGGTGTGTATGAGCAATGGCGTAGCTAGCGAAATTTGACCAGTTCTGCTCTAAGACCCACACATTCTAGGGAGGTCCGGGGGCATGCTCCCCATGAAATTTTGAATTTTAGAAGTCTGGATTTCACAGCAAAATACTCCAAAGGGAACATAAAAAAATTGCGTGATTAGCGGAAAATTTTTGATAATTTTTTTAGAAAAAAAATTTTGTAACTTGTTGAAATCCATGCATTTTTTTTTAATCATATTTCACCATACATTTTTCAACTTAACTGAAAATGTAGCTAAATATAGTCAAGTCACGAAAGAGGAAAATATCATGTATACAATACGTGTCTCTAATATGATCTTTCATTCAATCAACACATAATCCAAGCTCACGCAATCAACAATTGCGTAGCTATTATACTGTTGAACATGGCGTAACGCTATGGCTATGGCTAAGGAAAAGGATCGCACTAGCGAAGTCTAAAGTTCATCAAATATCGCGGGCGCAGTTCATGGGTGTATGGGTGGTCATCTCTCTGATCTCAAAATATGGCTGTTTGCCAGGAGTGAAGAACGGGAAAATTTAAAAAATATATGTAAGAAAGCTTGGAAAATCGTTTCACATAACAAATTGTAAAACTTTTCTGCAATTTTTAAAGGTAAACATTAACTAAGAATTGATTTAGTATGATAAATTTTAAAGTACCTGCCAAGTTTGTTTCGATTGTTTATGTATGCATCACTTTGTATTATTAATATAGATTTTGTTCTTGTTGTTCGAGTCTTTCCTATACATTGTATGTGAAAGTTTCTTAGTTAAATTAACTTTTGTAGAAGTTCATGATAAAAAGGAAAGCAATTTATTTTCATTAGCGTCCTGTACGAATTAAATTTATTTCATTTCAAAGTGCGAGTAATAAGTTGAAGAGATTAATATCATCAAAAAGCCGTTAAAATTCAATTCACATTTAGAAACGTTTTTAATACGTACTTTCGTTTCGAATTTTACATTAAAATAAAGCAAAATAATATAATATGGAGATAGCGTAGCCAGGTTTAGACATAATTAAAAACATAAACGTTCTCTGACTAAAATTTTTATTTAAAACGAGCTTTCGACTACCTAACTGTAGTCTTCGACGGGTAAAGCGGAATGAATTATTATTAAATTACAAGCGTGCATGTGTTAGGTGATATATATATATATATAACAGGAAGTGCAAGATGTGTGTGATAATTGAAGCGTCTAGCGATGACATATCCGGTGTGGATATGCACTCAGAGTAACATCCCAATCATATTATTCACCTGAGTACACTACATCAACACAGAAAAAAATTCATATTACAAGAACACATTGGTATTGAAGGAACTAGATATTGTTCCGAAATATCACTTACTCGAACCGTCCTGACCGCGTAGCTCAGTTGGAAGAGCATTGGGCTAGTATTCCAAAGGTCGTAGGTTCGAATCCCACCGTGGCCGGGCATATTTTTCAAGCTCGCCCGGTGTGGATATGCACTCAGAGTAACATCCCAATCATATTATTGTCAGAATTTGTTATTATAGCAGTATGCCAAGATTCTAATGTCTTACTCCGCTCTCCAACCCGACACATATAATGATTTTTCCTAATTCCTGAATACACAAGCTCTTTCTGTCCGTAAGAATATTAATGAAAGACATTCCAAGAAACTTAACCTAGCCATTGAATACCGCAATTCCAACAACATGGATAAATCGAAATGGGTTGTAAACATCTCGTCAAGATCCCTTACTAAGACCGAGATCGAAGTTCTGCAAAAAGGCCCTAAGTTTGCACCAGCCCCATCCGAAATTCCATACAAAGAAATTGTCGCCAACAGTGAAGCTGGTATTGATAACCTAAATGATGACTCGAAAAAAAACCATACGTAATGCAACTGCGAGTATCCTTGACAAGGCTCAGCTTCCTGCTAATAACGTTAGCAAGCAAGAAAAAAGAGCCCTCACCGTTCTGAAGAAAGACGACTCGATAATAATGACTAAAGCTGACAAAGGTAACTGCTTCGTTGTGATGGACCGCCTGGACTATGATGAGAAAATGCAGGCTCTCTACTTGATGATATTACAACGTATGGAACAGTAAAGAAAAATCCATTTGGTCGTGTTGAAAGAGAACTAAACTCTAGATTATTATCTTTAAAGAAAGAAGGGAAACTTGATGATATAACTTACAATAGGCTACACTCGACTGACGGCTTACCACCTACAATTTGCGGCTCTGTGAAACACCACAAGGAAGGCTACCCTCTGCGGCCTATTATCAATGGCATTGGTTCAGCTCTTTACAACACCTCAAAATACCTCACAACTATACTCTCTCCTATGCAGAACAACTCTGTTAAAAACTCCACCGAGTTCGCGCGAGAAATTAAAAACATAAAGATTGATGATGATTAGGTCATGGTATCCTTTGACGTTGTTTCACTATTTACAGCTATTCCCGTCCCGAAAACCTGTCAATACATACGGACTAAACTCGAACAGGACGTTACTTTGACATCACACACTAATCTTACAATTGACAACATTATTTCACTTTTAGACTACGCTTTCTAACAACTATAACAATGTAACTTACAAACAAATTCATGGCTGTGCCATGGGTAGCCCAGTCAGCCCAGTTGTGGCCAACCTCTGCATGGAAGTGATTGAAAATACAGCCATTCACACAACTCTTACAAAACCTAAAACATGGAAACGTTTTGTTGACGACAGTTTCTCGATCATTAAAAAGACTGCTATTTCGACATTTCACAATACTTTGAACAACATTGACCCTAACATCTCTTTCACTATTGAACTTGAACAGGACAATCAAATCTCATTTCTAGATGCACTTATAACACGACATGGTAACAACCTGGAAGTTGACGTACACAGGAAACCAACGCACACAGATAGATATC